ACTCATGAAAATGGACATGAAACGTAACTGGATTACTCTAGGATAACACATCTTCTGAAGTACATTAATAAAGTTATCATCATCTCATTTTGAAACCTACCCTGGAAGCACTCTTTCCTGCTAGGAGATCTCGAACTTCATTATTGTAAATCTCACACACAGACATCTCCAATGAGAAGCTCTCCTCAGGATTTTCTCGCTCAGAGATGAGTCTAAAAATTTCATAAATTATAAGAAAAAAAAAAGCTAAATTGTACATTTAGGAAGGTTTCTTCCTTTAGTGGGAAAGAACCGATACAAATTGACGGCTTCTGCCAACGAATATACCAAAGAATCATTTCGCTCGCCATTAGGAATGCCACTTCTTACTTAAACATTTCCTTCGCTGATCGTGGAATGATCCCTTCGTCCTTATTCAGCGACTCTGAATCGATCTCCATGTCCAGGTCGTGACTTCCCATCATGGTGTGAGTTTTACCAGATCCTGTCTGACCATACGCCATGATACACACATTGTACCTTTAGGTATCAAACAGACATTTGTTTTGTTTATAATGTGTACTTATTGACTAAGTAGGAGAGTCGGACGGGAAAATATTTTGAATGACTAAGTTTTGAAAATTTCGAAAATTTTGGTTTAACTTTAATAGGACGCATTAGACTGACGTGCATGGCAAAACCACAAAGAATAATCGACACTATCCTTTATTTTTTCGAGTCAGAAGAAGAAACTCACTGTTATTCGAAAAAACGTGACTTATTTTTTTCATTTCTGTTCACTACTGTCACTCATTAATTGTAACGACAACGAAAATATGTTTTTTATCTATTTATTTTCTTTTTTTGCAACAAAGCCGTACAAGTGCACTTGGGCCGGACGACTTCTAACGGACCGGTTCACGTCAACCCTACCAACGTCAGCTTTCCAATGGTTTTCTGCGGAATTGCGCGAGTGGGGACGGACGGGTCATATGACAGCTGTTATTTAACAGCTAAAACATGTTCCCTGTTATGCAATGGCAAAGGAGATTCACAAAATGCCAGAGCAACTAATAAGGTATTAGGATAAACTATCAATGCTGACTTATCATGTCACACAAGGTTATGAACTCACCCGTCCAACAAAGAGGTCAGCAAAGGTTTCACATCATCAAATAGCGACTTCTGGTCAGTGTCAGGTCCATAAACTCTTTCAAACTCAAACTCCTTCTTCTGCATCTGGCCGCCAACAGGCTTAGCTGGGCGCACAATGAGTTTGTCTTCATCCTGAAGATCTACAACTCTTTCAGAAGGAGTTCCTGCCATACCCAGTGACTCCTCGTCACCAGGAGAGTCAAGGCGGCTGATTAAGGGACGCAGTCGACAGTGCACCCTGATGTTGCCTCGCATTTCCTAAAAATTAAAAATTACGGGAAAAGAAGAAACATTTCACTCAATTGACTTCAGCATATGATGAGGAAAGAATCTGAGTAACCCACAAGGTTTGAACCCCAGTCAGCACCAGTTTTGCAGTCAGGGGCACTGAGAACCAACTGAGCTAAGGTGAACTCTTTGGTGAGCAAAGCCATATACTTGAATCGCGTGTAACAATTAAGGTTAATTTACGCCCTAACATCAGTATGTATATTCTCCACACTGTTCTCTGTACATTGACTAAGGTGCTAACAAGGAGAATTTGTTTGATAATCAACAGCTTATTGAGTTGGAGATCATTTGCTTTATTCTGATGACCTCTATTTGTGATTCAGGGGTGAGATTGTAAGGAGAAATTAGATGCTAGTCACTCTTAGGGGTTATAGGGTTAAGGTTATTTGCATGCTGCTAAGATCAGTGATGTTGACTGGAAGCATCCTGTCAAGCATAAAATCCTGGAAGCAAACACTTTGTCCAAGGTCAGAATGGGGAGGGTGGATTCAGAATGGCCAGCTAAAGTTTCAAGAAAAAAAGCATTGCTTGATACAAGACTGAAACCAGAGCAACTTTGGTTGGGAAAAGTGTTTGACAAGACACTTCCACATTAATATGTACTGGACACAGTAGTTGCACAATTACTAACCACAAGAGTGTTGTGTAGTGTCATTCTGCGAGACTTTTCTTGGATGTATCGTTGTCTAAACTCAACCATCTCCATTTCTGTCTTGAGAAGCTTATGTTGAAGGCCTGGATATGAAAGTTCAAACAAGATCTTTTTTTCGAACACAAAAAAATTGTGTGAAGGACATGTGAAGGGAGGGCTGAAGGGAAGGGAGAAAATCGAGTTCCCCACAAAGACCTGCTGTGCATGTCTTGATACACAGAAAAAAACCTCAGAACTTTTAAGAGTCTGAGAAAACTAACATCTACACAAGCTACAAATAGTAGTTAAGAGTACACTGTACCTTCCATATTGGACATTTTCTTGGAGCCAAACTGATCAGTGAGTTTTGCGGTCTTGTCCATTTCTTGTGAGAGTAATTCTGGAAGACACTTAACTTTCTTTTTCAGGTCATGAAGCTCCAACTTAACTTCCTAAAATGAATGAAAATAAACTTTAAAATAATCCTTGAAAAGTCCAGTTGGAAAGATAGGGTCATTTTGACTGTGACATTTCTTTACTGCACATTGCCCTCTTCCCAGGAGTGTGAAATGGTACCAGCCAGCTGTTTGAGAAACATGACAAAACCCTAAAATGAGGGCTGGAGATGGGGGGGGGAGGGAAGGAAAGCAGGTTACCTGCCCACAACTGACAAGCATCCAAACTCACAGGAGCAACAATTTTAACCTTTTAACCCTTTAACTCCCAGATCTATTTGTAATTCTCCTTACTGTCAACCATACAATTCTCATAATGTTAGTTCAGATAATTTAGTATTGGATCAACTAATTATCCCCCAAATTAAAATATTTCTTTATTCTCATCACTTGTCTGCTTGATATTGTATGGATATTGAAAGGAGAAATTCTCTCCTAGTCACTCATGAGAGTTAAAGGGTTAACTTCCAAGATCTCATTATCAATTCTCCTTACTATCTACAATACAGTTCTTAAAATATTAGTCTCAAGAATTTGGTGTTGTATTACCTAATTATTCCTTTAATTAATAACATTTTTTTATTCTTCTCAACTATCTCATTGTTATCGTGATGATACTGTAAGAGGAAATTCTGTGTCGGTCACTGATGGGAGTTGAAAGGGTTAGATAGTTAAGTTTCTTCATGCTACAGAAAGTGGAATAAGCTCTGGCAGGATGGGCCATGACAATCAAGCTGCAATGTTCAAGCTACAATGATGCATGATTCATCTACAACTGTAGTTTGTTAGTTTGAATATTGACATTTATTGTTTATCTAGTACACAGTCATAACAATCTTGACTAATACCTGTAGTTTATCATTGGAGATTCTGAGTGTCTGCAAAGAATTCTTCCTGAAACTTTTCTCCTCATCAAACAAGCGCCTAAAATGAGTGGACTCATGTCGGCAAGAACGTACTGATCCTTGACACTGAAGAAAAACAAATGATTATACACAAATATGCACAAAAAAGAAATGCCTGGTATATAATGTGGGGAGAGAAAAGGTGGCCATTCAAATGTGTTTTATTGATTACTATAGAAGAAAAATGAATGGTTGTCATGTATTAGTACATACTAAAACAGTGGACAGCCATGAAGGTGTGCTCTGATTGGCTACTCAAACCTAGAATATCCTATACTACACACCTCTGAGTAACTTGCACTCAAAACCATTGTAATTGTTGCAAGTAAAAATGAGTTAAATCATCTTCTTGGTGTCATATTATCTTACCCCTTTTAATAAGTATAAACTAAAGCAGCTCTTCACCTCAGTGGCAGTGGCTTGTCGTGGATATTTACCCTGTCACTTAGCAGCTCAGTCAATATCCACCACTAGCCACTACCACTTCTGTGAATTGTTGTTAACCATGAGCAAGGACAAGTGAAATAATTGCTACTGAGCATTATCAAAGTACATACATGTACTCTCGTGAACTAAGATGAATGGTTAATAAGGTAAAAAGAGTTGATCTATACATAAAGTGCAAAATATGGAAGTAATGAAAGAATGAGTGTCTTCTTGACTTGACCAGTAACTGAATACATGAGTGTGGGTCCAAAGGGCTTAATGGCTAGGTTTCAGATTTAGGCAACATAGCTTACATGGTGTGTTATCAGTTACTCCAATTCTATAATTTAAATCTCTTTATTGGCAGCCTCCAAAAGAACTCACACAAGACAGCATCTTTTCAAAATGCAAATTCGATTAATCATCAACATTTGTGTCACATAAAGGCCAATATCACATGTTCAGTCTTTTGCCCGAGAACACTTCTTAATTCCCTTTTCAAAACCATCAATTGTCTTTTTCGTTTTTCGACAAAAGATATGCATTGTTGCTGTTGAGGTAATATCATGAATGACTTAAATAATTCATGCATCATTAGTTTAATAGCTTGTTAAATTAAACGTTTGATCTTTGATTGTATGCATGTACAAAAGTCTATGTGTCTGCCTCTACCAATTAAACGATCAGTAATCTTAATGCATATAATTTACCTGTGCTAGTTTAAGATAAAGCATGGCATTTTCGGTCTCAAGGGCAACAATTCGCTCCTCTCGTGCCTGTAAACATGGTTTCAATTTAGCATAGTTATAACAAACGATAGAATAAAGCAAGTTGTGCAGATTGTGTGGGCTCGTGTATGAAGTGGAAGCGTTTTTTACCCTCAACAAATTTTCCAACTTCTGCACACGATCCTTCAGCTGTTGATCCGTTAGCTCAGGCATTTTATTTCCACGGAAGTTGTCCCCTTCAGCGTTGGTTAAAAGCGAATCACATTTTTGCCGCTAAGACACCCAAACGAGCGCGTCCAATGCACTGTGACAACCAGAAAATTTATCAAATTTCATTGTTTGCTTGTTGACGCTCCCGCGTTCTGTTCCACCAGCTGTTTATTTATGAGACCTTTTGTAATCGTGTAACTGTAATGAGGTGTTTCAAAAACAACAGTGGTGCTCGAACTTTGACATTTGATAGAAGTCCCCAAAATATAGAAAATGATTCGGAGCCGTTCGCGTTACTTTGTGAATCAGTACCAGCAATTTTCAGGGACGTTATCCAATGTTGAATATTTAAGAGATCTAGTGAAAAGGGTCTTGCAACTGATCGAAGAGAAAAGTCCTCCGCAGAGAGCAAGCCGAGATGGCGGTCTTTATGTAGGAGCTGGTGGTATAGGCTACGCTTTCTTTTCTGTAGCGGAGTGCACAGAGTTTTTGAACATTCGTGAACAATGCCTTGGAAAAGCCTTGGAGTACATGAAGGTCCGTTTGCAAACTCTCAGAACAATCAACTTGAGTTGTGCTCGAAAAGTTGTCGCAGGACGGTTTTAAATTTATATGCACGCTAGATATTTTATACTGAGGTTCCGTTTGACAGGGTGCTAAACTGATAACTGAAGCGAGGATAATGCAAAAGCAACGAGACCGTTGAAATAATTATCTCTGAAAAAAGAAAAAAGCAAACTAAAAAACAGATAACCCTTTATACAGCTTAAGATAACGCACTTTAAAATTTGGATACTATAATCATCAATTTAACAAACCGTATAAATATCGAACGTTAAAACCAATCTTTCTTTTCCTTTATTTCTTTTAAGGTTAGTCTAGAAGAGGTATCAACAACGTCTCCCTATGATGATGGTATTGGGGCATCATTTCTCCTAGGACATGCTGGGATTTATGCAGCATCAGCACTAGTTTTCAATGCTTTGGGTTTGTATTAGCTCTATGAAAATGAAATATTTACTACATTCATGATCATGTTAATTAATACACAATTTATAAAACGCAAGTAAGTGTTATGTGGAAGAGGTATGCATGTGGCCTTGATTAAAAGAGGTTGCTAGCAGTTTGCATTTTCACAATTATATTTTTGTATTCTTTTGTTATTGTTGTTGTTGTTGTTGTTGTTGCTGTCATTTTGCTTTTTGGTTGTTGTTAGGAATTTATTTTTTTCTTGATACAACATTTCCCTCCAAAATTTGACATGAGTGCCTTAGCACTTGAGTCAAATTTTGGGTAAAAGGAGGGATGATATTTGGACTCGGAGGGTGCTTATACAGTAACATGTTGTTGCAGGGTGTCAGCAAGAAACAGAACAGTGTATCCAGAATTATCTGGAGATGGCTAAAATCTGCCAGCCACTGAATTTCTTTCGTCCTGGTTCTGATGAACTGTTTGTTGGTAGAGCTGGTTACTTATGTGGGTCACTTCTCTTGAACAAAAAGCTTGGCAGGACTGTGGTACCTCCAGAAGTCACCAGACCCTTGTTTGATGCCATCATAGAGTCTGGGCGACAGTATTCACAGAGTCACCAGTCACAAAGCCCACTCATGTACTCATACTACAGGACAGAGTACTTAGGTATTATGCTGAGGGTTTCAGTCTTTTGGAAAATTTAATAAAATTAAGCCTGGCATCATGCCTCTTACATTTTGGCAATGATTAATGTCCCAACAATGTAAGAGAGGGTAGGCTAGACATTGTAACAGGTATCAAACACAATAGATAAGTACCACAAAGTTGCTGACCCCTCTTTCTCTAGGACAGTTTGTTATGATGTTATCAAGAACAAAAAATGTGGAAAATCCTCTATTTACTACTGTTTGATCAAATTGATTAATTTTTTATCTGCTAATTTTTAATCTAACTTATTGTTTATTATTTTGTACATGATGGAAGACCTTTGTATGACTTCAAAGAGTTTAAGTATTGTTTCATGACCTGTTGAGAGTTGTCAGAGGAATTATCCAAAGGTAATTTTTTTTTTTTTCAAATTTCTATTCAGGGGCAGGTCATGGACTTTCATCCATTTTACAAATGCTGCTTAGTTTCCCAGAACATTTTAGCAAAAGAAAAGATGTTGAATCTCTCATTCATCAAGCTGTCGACTACGTGCTCGCATGTGAATGTTCTAATGGAAACTACCCACCTGTTCCTAGAGAGGTCAGTCACCAAGAAGATGAGCTGGTACATTGGTGCCATGGTGCTCCAGGGGTTGTTTATCTTTTGGCCAAAGCTTATCTTACCTGGAAAGATGATAAATACTTGCAGGCCATGAGGAGGTGTGCTGATCTTACCTGGCAGAAGGGATTGTTACGCAAAGGGCCAGGGATATGTCATGGTGTGGCAGGTAATGCATCATTGTTAAATATCTATCTTACAGTTCACATCTCTTCCTTTTTTCATTCAAAATAGGAGAACAGTCTATCCTATGTTATTTTCCAATACATCAGCACAGCATTTGTGTTAATTTGCTTTTTGAATTGGAGTCTTGGGATCAACATCAGTATCTGGACAACTGCCACCTACCCCTCCCCTAACCCAACATTAACCCTAACTTGTCATCAATTGACTGTTGTTGGGTTAGGGGAGGGGTAGGTGGGCAGTTGCTCAGATACTGATATTGATCCAAGTCTTGTTACAGTGCACTCTGAAAGTAAGAAAGCAATTAGTGGTAAGCAGTAATGCCTTATTTGAGCCAAAGCCCAACCCAAAATTGGAAATGCTTGCCTGAAGGACCCTGGTGTGGGGAACTACTTCAGGAGACCTATTGAACAGGAACTGTGACATTTGATTACTTATATTGACAAAAAGATCAGCACTATGAAATCACCAATTTTTCTAAGAGGAGAGGAAACGGAAAAAGTGACGGCCTCAACGAAATTCGAACGCCCCTACCGCACGGAATACAGCCCGCAAGCTCATATATATATAACTGCTTTGTAATTGTGGCAGAAACAAGGTGAAATTTATGTCTCTTTCCTTTCTTTTTTAGGGAGTGGATACGTTTTCTTATTGCTCTATCGTCTGACCAAAGAAGACCAATACCTTTATCGTGCGCAGAAGTTCTCGGAATTTATGCAGACAGAAGAGTTTCAAAAGGGAGCAAGAACTCCGGACTCACCATTCAGCTTATATGAAGGATTGGCTGGAACTGTGTGCTTTTACGCCAATCTTTTAAATCCTTCCGAGGCGGTTTTTCCATTCTTTGAAGTCTTCTAGTGATTGACTATTTGAAATACATTGTCTTATATAAGGATTGAGGGGCCTTAGAGATTTCCAGTTAAATGACAAATGATAATAAGGAAAGAGAGATTTTCCGAGCTGCAGTATAGTTTGAGCACAGAAATTTGCAAATCTGACTCGTTTTTAGAAACCTACTCAAGCAGCAGTTTTACTTTGGTTTTGCTCTTGGATCTAAAGCGGCAAGGAAATGGTTTAAAAATATTGTAAAATTTAAAATTTAGAGAGTTATGATCGGGTTGCTTAAAATAGACCTTATCCATGAATTTCTTCAGAGTCCAAATCATGTGCGCTTGAGATCAGCAAATTAATTTTTCGTGACTCCCTCTTTCCACTTGCCAGTCATAGCCTGTTTACGTAGAACACAACGAAAACAGTTACACCCACCTCTAGGCAGAGAACCTGTCTCTCCCTCCGCTGTGGATCATCTTAGCTTTGCGCACTCAAAGATATAGAATATCATATAAAGAAATCGAAAAATAAGCAAACAGATATATGTAAAAAGATAAGTAAAAACGCGTGCCACGCTAGGTGGTCTGCCGCTACCGCTTTGCTTCAAAGTGAGATTCGGAAGTCGTGAACACAATAAAGTCACTGCAAAGATACATCAAAATGAGAGGAGTTATTGGCGATGTTGACCTGAACAATTAGCCCGCCCACTTGGCTCAGATTATTTGTGGGAGTTCTGAACTGCAAAGCACGCGAAAATACCATAACTGTGACACGTTTTCGGTAATTGGAAAACCGCCGAACGCGTGCAAACTTTTACGGTTTATCCGGCACCCTGCTTAAACTTGCGTTAGCGTTATAAACCACTTTCTGCTAGAAACGAAGTAAATCTGCTACTTGCGTTTTAACCATTTGATCAATCATCACGGTCTGAAGATGTTTGCTTTTGTATTTCTAAGTGGTTGATATGGTGTAGAACGAGAAGAGGTTGATTAACTTAAGCGAAGTATAGTGTAGTTCCAGCATTTTGCGTTTCCATTAATCACCTGAAATCTCTACACTACAGCGAATAGCCAGAAGCACTGTCATAGACTGCAGAGCACGCACCATGAATAGAAAAATCGTTTATCTATACACGGTACCGAGGCGAACACGTAGGGAACACAAATTGCTAAAAATAGTATTCTGGCCATTAAACCGTCTCAGACCTTGGCCATGAAATCAGCATGTTCCTGTTGTGCTGAGTAGGATTGCTGGCACGCGATGATTGCGTGACCAACCTGCTGTGCATCTGAGGACAGTTACGTAGAGTAAAGCCGAACTTAGAAGCTGCTGTTGTTCCAGCTTATAAAAGCCACGAGAAGGAGGATTTCATGTTATCTTTAACTCAATTTTTATCATAAAATAGAACGTATTTGCCATCTGAAACTGATGAGACGTCTTCCGTGCCAACGGAAAATCGTTAGGTTATTCCCTAGTTCCTCCCTCCCCCTCCCCCACAGGGGAATTTGCTCGTTTGTACTTGACTGTCCGTGATATTCTTTTCAAAAGCAAAATGAACTCTCTAAAGACCGTTGCCGCGAAGGTAAAGCATAGCCCTCAAGTTATAAGAAAAACGTTTTCTGGCGCAGGTTCGCCGAGTCCGTACGCGAAGGTAACAGAGGGGGAGAAAAGCAAAGGTAGGAGATATGTTTGATGATCGAGTTAAGGTTTAGTCTGGAGAGAAATATTTAATTCAGGATTGCCTTAAAGCGAATGTTCGTTTCTTTGTTTTCAACGATCACATTGCATAAAACAAGCTCATTCTTTTTTTAAGGATAGGGAAAAAAAGATGCCTTAAGGTGAAAGGAAAGTATGATTCGAAAAGCGAAAGGAACATCACCAAAATTTAGCGATATAAATCGTAATTTGTTAATTTGATGTTTACGTTTGGAGACACGTACTGATCGGTCGCATATGTGAACTTAAGCGTTCGTGCGGGAAGAAATTGATTAAGATAGCCTGTAGAAGATATTTTATAATTTGGGTGAAATTTTGAAATTTCTTCTCTTTCGAGAGAGACGCATAGCATTCTTTTTTTGGCTAATTCAAAGCGCCTCTGCTTCGCTTGTGCCTATAGCTGCGCCGCTGAATTGCTTATCGGCGGAAATATTTTGACAATGCAAGCGATGTAGCGAAAAGAAAAATTTGAATACGAGTCAGAACGATAAAAAACCGGGCTATGAATTAATTGGGCTGAGTACTTATTCCAAGTCAGGTCGGGACAATTTGATTTGATTTTTTTCTCGGAATAAGTCTGTAGTGACTTTAAAGTTTTTACTTTTAATGCTCTAATGGTTTGTTTATTATATTCGGTATCGTGACGTGTTATATATTTAAGTATGGAAAATTTGAAACCACTTCTTCGGATTGAAAAATTGTAATGGTCATCATGAAATCTCTTTAATTATATTTCTAATTGCACATTCGATTCACAAGCGTCACTTCGATGTGACTTGTTCGCTGAAGCATGTACGTCATCGAACCTTCTTGCATTCGTTTGAAAACTTAAATTAAAGATAACGTGTTTATTAGTTCATTTTCAGTGGTCATGTACAATTGTCACACCAGAGCGATTTCAATTACACCAATTTTTCGCGCAATTTTCTAGACAACTCCGGTGAAATAAAAGCGAAAAATAGAATGGATTATATTTTTACTACCAACGGAAAGTACGTCTTGAACCAATGTTCTTCTTGGATACGACGACAGTCTTGACATTTTTTTGATCTGTCCTTTTAATTTTTATGCTGTTTTTTCCCACTTTGTTTTGTTGTGTTTTGTTTTGTTTAATCGTGTTTTGTTTTGTTTTGTTCTGTTTGTATTTTGGTTTATAACATCTACAAGAGGAATATTTGTTCTTTGGAAGGTTCCTTGCTTGATATTATCCCAGAAAACAGGACAAAACGAAATTATGTCGTGGGCATCAATGTCGCGTCCAAAAACCGAGTTTTACTCACTCTGTCAAATTTCAAGAGTTCAGAATCTATAACACACCGATTAACCAAGGTTTCAAGGCTGTTTCTGCAATGCCAAGATCGCAGTAATACGCATAAACCTTCGCATAAGCACTCAACACTTACATTGAATACAGCCATCCATATTGTCCACTGTTCACACGGGACGAAACATGAAGGTTTAATATTCTTCGAAAGAAAGCTTTCTTCCAACCTAGATCAATCATCAGATACGTTTTAGCTAGGATGGAAAATGTAGCTTAAAATGGTTATTCACGAATTGATTTTAACGCATCATCGCTTGTTTTGGTATTTTTTCGATCTTTTCTCACCTACGTAAACTATGACGGTGTATTCTGGCGTATATATTGTTGTATTAGTAACGCTAGGAGCGTTCAACATCAGCTTCATTATTAGTTATAGTACATATCACGCTGGTGAAGGGTGCTTTTTGCGCGCATTGATTGGCCCGTTCGAAAGTGATTTTCAAATAGTGTCCACCTCAAGGCAGAGACAAAATGGCGCCCCAAAAGTTTTAAAATCTCCGACCATTGTATATATCGACAAAAATGACTGAACGAGTTTTTTGGTTCTTTTGTGATAAATTCTCAATGAACTACTCAGTTCCGGTAAAAGTGTTGGATATCTACCTCCCCTTCGGTGAAATATTGTTCACCATTGCCTGAGTGAATTATGTATTAGGGCTAAGAACTACAAGTGTCGGTTAGCGCAGATATGAAGAAATTCCAAATGTAAAGATACAGTGAAGCTAAAATTTGCCTAATTTTTGTGTGCACGAGTTTGTTTTGTTTTGTCTCCACTTGAGTTGCTCCTGACGTTTTTGTTTGTTTGTTGGTTTTTTCTTCTTTTTCTTTTAATTTAATTTAATTTAACAAAGAAATGATTCTCACAAGTGGGCCGAAATTATGGCAATTGCAGAAAATGAAGCCTGAAAAAATTCAGCCCTCGACGGGATTCGAATTCGTGCCTCCAGATGATATTTGGGCTCATATTTTTGTCTGCGTGATGTTTGTCTTTCCTTGCAAACTATATTTGATTTAAGGTCTTGATTTCCTTTTTTAAGCAGTTTCTGCTTCTCCCACGTGACACGAAATCTCAGGATACTTTTCAATCCCAATAAAAACTCATCGCATTTACTGGTTACTTAACAGGTAAACATCAAGAAGACTGGCTTCATGCTGAAGATTCTTTGAAAGAAGGAATTCACTTCTATGTCAAGGTATTGATACAAACTTATAGTCAGTCACCCACTCTGCTGAGGACAATTTCTTTGTGACACATTTCAGCTAATTTCCCAATGTTACGTTTGCAGATACTTGGATCTTGTCCTGTGTTTCAAGCCCAAGGATCAGGCTGCACTGATGAAGCTGTGCAGAGTATTGTCGCAAACACGAAGAAGGTAGGCTTAAATCAAATTAAAACAAATAACCTTGTGTGCTAGCAGAATCAAGGCCAATCAAAACACACCCACACGAGCCTGAGGTTTTCGATTGGTGCGATTTGTTGTCACACTTTGGTAAAATGATGTCACTGGATCCATGGCTGCAGAAATAATACAACAAAAATTGCTTTTAGTAATGTAATACCAGAAGATCATCGCTGAAAGTCAATTCCAGGCCCCGGTTGTTCGAAGAGCGAATATCGCCAACCACTAGATAAGTGTTTTGACAACACCTATTTGCTAGATAGCGATTTATCCGTTGGGTAGCGTTATCCGAACCTTGAACAACTGAGCCCAATTATAGCGGAGCTCGCAGAGCGTAGCCCCATAATTATAAAAAATAGTAGTAACCCATCAAGCCGAAAAATTTGGATGTACAACCGTACGACCGTACAAGGTGCTACTTTTAACATGCGTGGTCAACTGTACCACGGGCACGCCAACGCCACGGCTTTGTCCAGTAGTCCAGTGGTCAGTGCACTGAGCTCCGAGTCGGACGACCCGGGTTCTAGTCCTGGCCGGGGCAAGGCGTTGCGCCCTTGAGACGTGCGGGGAAAAAAATGCGAGCTCCGCTTTTAGGCTTGGCTAAATCTATATATTACCCCAAAGCAAGCACCTATAGTAAATAAATGAAGCTTGGTATGTCTAACCGCTAGATTTGTCATTGGTCATATTTGTACATTGTTCTATAGACGAAGAATACCCCAGCCAATGGAAGCCTTCAGAAAGTTTTAATTACCGTTTCTAGCCGTAAGCTATCCATACAAGATATGATTTCAAAGGTATGTATAGTTTCCATTTATTTTTTATATGAAAAGATAAATTATACGCGCAATTTGATTGGTTCTTTCTTATGATCTATTGGAGGACGGGCGCGTGGATGACAACACCATTGACAACATTTTGCTTCTATATCATATGAAACACACAGCTTCTATGTTGCCGTGAATCTGTACAGTAATAGATCACAGAAAATGTCAAACTGTAGCAAGAACATCAATCAGTGGACATGCATTTTCGGCTGCGCCTTGTGTGCCACTTTTTAGTTCTAGCCGCATTTTGATCAAACACTGAACAGACTCACGACAGATAGGAACCCATTTGTTGATATACAAACATGACATGACGTTTAATTCCATCGAATTCATTTGATTTCATTCTCTCCAGGAGAGGGTCATGGAGATCCCAATTTATCGGTAAGTCGACTTCCATCTACAATACGTGATACTCATTGCCATCAGCAACATTTATCATCCTATTTAGCGGAAGTTTATTCATTAAAGAGTCAGTTAGTTACAAATGAGAAAGGCTAGACTGCACATGCGTTATAATCTCTACTAATTCTCTGTTTAACTCCTTAGCCTGCCCTCATTATTAGCGCTTCGGCACGAGCGTTTTTCGCCGTGGGAAAGTATGAGTGTTTGAGCAACGCGAGCCTACGAGGGGTCTGCACGGGGTATTAGTGCCAGACCCCCGACAAACATTTTCTGACTCGTCCCAAATCTTTCCTGCGGGCAGAGAAACGCACCGCCTGCAGCGCTGATAATGAAGGGTTGTTCGAAGGCTAGAATTCTTAAACAAGTTGGAGTTCTCCCCTAATGATTACTCCCCACATTTCCTCTTCCCATCCTCACCGTAGACAGGTTTTGACTTCAATGACTGTAAATATATGAACATCATGTATGTGAACTGCGGTTGAAGAAACGAATATGGAAGCGATCCTCACAGTTATGGACACTACTTAAGTAGTATTGAAAATAAGGCCTGAATATAGGATATGTGAACTGCATAAGTAGTGTTCATATAACTGCGAGGAACGCTTCCATATTCGCTTCTTCAACCGCAGTTCACATATACGACATTCATATATTTACAGTCATTTATTCACCGCTCCGGGAGTTTATTTGGAACCAACATAATGACCAGCTCTCAGTTGGCTTGTTAGCTTCAGTTGGTAGAGTGCTACACCGGAATCATAAAGTTCATGGGTTCAAATCCCGTACGGGCCTGAATTTTTTTCAGGCCTTATTTTCACCACTGCGTAATGTTCATAACTGCCAGGATCGCTTCCATATTAGCTTTGACTGTATTCGGATGCTTCTTTAACGCGACACCGTTTACATAATTGCTTTTCTTCCCATGTAGCTCGTAGCTTTACTAAGAACTCTCAGGTGCACCAATTTTCAAATCTCTTCATTTGTGTTTTTCTAATTTCTAGTGTTTCATATTGTGTGGCCGACCCAACCTTTCCCAAAGTGTTTGCGTTCATTTGTCGATCACAAGGCAAACAAGATTTGACGTGCCACGCTTTCCTCTGCAGCAAACCGGCAATGGTATAGTTCTCTCATTTTATTCTCAGTGTTCTTTGTATTCTATGCTGTTGTTGTTGTTGTTGTTTTTTTTTTTTCTAATGTTTTTCTTTCCTTTATTTATTTTGCCTTGTTTTAGGAGGGGGGTTAATGGTATCTCCTCACCAATTTTCCTATCCATGAAAATGTCGATTTTGCAAATCGAGGTTTCCAGTTGAGAATATCAAGATGATTTGGATACAAAGAAAGTCAGAACTAGGTCTTTCTTAGTTTCCATTCAGAAAGCCCTTGAGTGATACTGCCATAACCTTCTTATAAAATTGTGTACGGTGTTTTTCTCTTAGTTATGCGGATGTTTTTTTGAGAAGGAATGCTCACTACACTGTTATTTCGAAGTTATTGTAATTTTTTTCCTATCCGGTTGTCTTGTTGTCACTCCCCCTTCCCGTCCCCATACCCAAGATGCCATGGGGGAAGTTCTTCTTAAATCAGGAAGTGCGTTTTATCACTATGAAGGTTTCCAAGTGCTTCTGGCACTACTTGAAGTTTTAAGACCTTTTAATTAGGTAGAATGACAAGAAATACTAACCATATGATGACTAATAACATTTTTCAGGCTCAAGCCATGGCGCTGACCATTGCTGATGCCTTTAAGCTTGCATATGAAAACCACGAGAAAAAAGCGGGACACGGAAAACCCGAGAAGGATCACGGGAGTCCGCGAGTCTCACAGGACAACAAGGAGAATACTGAACAGGCCACATCTGTGATTCAAAACGAAAACGTTGACATTTACGCGACCCCTATACCCAAAGAAAATAGAGTAAACACGCCAAAAATTCACGTATCTGCAGATTCCTCTTCGGGTATAATGGATGACTCCAGTAATAAACTGCAAGCCTTGGTAATTGTTTTTATTAGCGTCAATATCGTGTTTATTATTGTGAGAGAAGCTGATTAGAGCGCTTTTCGATTGAATATCGTAAGACCAAAACCAAGGTAATTACTAAGGCCAATCAGACGGAAAGGAAATATTACAACGAGCCAATAAGATCTCAAGAGGAAAGTGGACCAGCCACCTGATTAGAGCAGCAAAGTTGCCATAGCTTTTAGTTTTTCATGTGATCGCTTTAAAGAGTGGCGTGAATTTTCTTGACAAATCACAGAACGAAATGAAGGAAGTACGAAGCAATCCCAACAGTTTGTTAATACCCCATGGGGGTTACTACTTCTCGGTAATATGTTGTCTTATAATTTTTACTTGTTTGCTTGTCTTATGCGTCGTATATCTAGATAGTCGGCTAAAAATGCACTTGCTGAACTAAACGGAGCATTTTTTAGCATTTGCTACTATGATTAGGCCATTTTGCTTATACACTGTCTAACTTACTATTGCAATTTATAGGACATTGCAGCAAAAGACGACGACTTTGACGCGGAATTTACAAAGTAAGTTTACTTTAAGTGATTTGATTGCTCTGTTTAAAGGATATTTTATTTGCCTGTTCGGTTCGTTCGTCTGCATCTCTCTGCTTTTGCGTTTAGTGACGCTCTGGTATTAAAGACTGATAAAAAACAAACATATCAGACAATAAATGGACAATACCTCAGTTTCGAGAAAACGTTTGTTTGTTAAGTTAAGGTCTTAGTTAACACTTAAACATGTTTAAAAGTTGTTTTGTTAAACAATAACTACTGGTGCAACATCGTACTTGTGGAAAAAAGTTTTTCAGTTCTCTGTTTATAATTTTCATTCAATGAAAACCAGTTTAACAAAACAGCTAGTGGCGTAGACTGCGAAATGCACCCACTTACTCTAAGAGCCCAAGTGGCTCCTGATTGCAACAACCATTTCAAGCAAGCCTCTTTAGTAATGGGGTATTGGGAGACTAAAAAAATTTTCCTACACATTACGGCTTTGGACTTTGTGCGTGCTCGGCGCACGTGAAGCCCAACATTAATGAGTAGACATGGCGTTTACGGCCGCGACAAAGGGCAAAAATCAATTCTGATATGTTAACTTTTCCATTATTTAAACTTTTCTACTCGCGACTAATACAAATTAAAAAAGGGCCTGAAATTAGCCGGAAAGGAGTTTAGTTTTAGCTTCTTGCCATTTCCCGTAACCGTCATGGTTAACCTCTCTAAAAATTGTTGAAGTACGCTTCAGCGATCAAGGGAAAGACTAATCAAATTCTCGGACTAAATGCTGATAAATCCTTGTGGGTTTTCAAACGCACGCAGCAGGTGGTGCCTTCAATACTTGGAGCATTTGCATGTACATTTTAAAAAAAAACATGCGTTTTTCCTGTTGACAGATTAGCAGAGTCAAGGTCCAGCCCTATCTTGTTTGAGACACCAGTGAGGAGACGAGATTTTTTTGGTGACGTCAATCATCTAATGGCCACTGAAACAACTGCTAAAGAGTTAATGCTGTCAAAATCCAGCGAAGATCTCTTGTCGATGTAATTTATTCCCTAATTATTGAACATTTATGGATTGGCTGTTGTACTTTCTAACCCGACCTTTCAGCTATATAGAGCGATTGATTTTTAATTAACCGGCGTGGTGATGGAATATGGTAACGACAGTTTTCTTTCAGAGAAGAATTACAGCCTCGTTTCTTAGGAGAGGGGGGGGCTAGACCTAGGAGGTTCTTATTTTCATTTCTTAACTTTTTACCCCCTAACATCAGCATGCAAATTCTCCATGCTGGTTTCTACACATTTCCTTTGGCTGTGACAAGGAGAAATTTTTAATGTTCATTATTTAGCGATTATTTCGGATCACTGCCAGTATCGGAGCAAGTGTGCACCTACCCCTCCCCTAACCCAACAACAGTCAACTGATAACGACTTAGGGTTCATGTTGGGTTTGGGAAGGGGTAGGTGCACAGTTAGCAATTATTTCGGATCACTGCCAGTATTTGTCTTCTAAAGGGTTAAGGGGCTAAACGGTCTAAATATCCTCAGTAAACTTTAGAACAAGTTAGGAGAGATCCTTAGATCACAATTGTTAGGTATAAAAACACCATGCTCTGACACTTCGACTATCTGCACGTGCGATATATTTTAAGCTATTTTTGTAATGGTTGGAAATTAATTTAGAATTATATAGAATATTAAGGGAGTCTCCAGGAGGGTATAGATTAAACGGCTAACGGTTGAAATTTTGGCCATTTTACGGCTAACAGTCAATTTCCTTCCATTAAACGAAAAATGAATTTTCACTTTTTTTTCGACCAACGGTTAAAATTTGTCAATTTTTACGTCTAACTAGCACATTTTTTAACTGTTTTACGGCTTAAACCCCATTGAGACCCTCAATTAAATTGTAAGAGCCCTAATTTTAATCGGTAGAATCTTATCTAAAATGATTTCAAACTAATTAAAATTCACATATCACAATACTGGAATGTATGATCTCTCTTTGCTTGAAAGTGTAACTTAACTTCTGAAGAAAGAATATTATCTGCTATTCATCATCCCGAGAAGTACAATTTACAATTTACTACAATTTTTCTATGTGAGTCGAAAAATCGCCAACTTATTCTTCCTATTGATGTTTAGATTAAGTGGTGTTTATTAACGAGACGGTCTTTAACAGCTAGTTCATGTAATGTTTAAAAAACGAGCAGGAGTGTTTCATCGGGTTTAAAACCACGAGGCGTAGCCGAGTGGTTTTTGACCCGATAAAACACGTGCTGCGAGTTTTTTGAACGGCTTCAAAAACATTCTTGGAAAAGCGTGTGTCAAGAGAGTTCATAACAATTATGCTTTTGTGAACGTTAGAAATTAGCATACGAGAAAAAACATTAGGGATTAAATTAGTATGCAAGAAAATCAAATCTCACACGTGTTTTGTACTTTTCTTCTACTAACCGAAGAGGACATGGCGTCCTGTTCCAGTTTCAGATGATGTATTGTCTAATATGCCTTTACCAGATTACTGTACTAATGGAATAGAGAATTTTTCCAGATGTGTATTTCACAACTGTACTATTAATTTGGTGCAAAAGTAAATTTACTGTGTGAAATTTGTTGAAAGAACATTAAATATGTTCCCACCATTTGTTGTGTCAGTTTCTGTGTTGATAATTAATTAATATTCATAAGTCACGTGCAGTGTCTTTATATCTGATAAAACACCGCATACTAATAAGGATGAGGTTTATCGATATAAAGTCACTGCACGTGATGTATTATCTACCATTTGATAGGTTAATGGGCTTATGAATTATTAATGAGTTTTTGAAGAACAAAGAAACCGCGAAACTTATCCTGATGACAATACGATCATCTAAGTCTCTCGTCATACTTCTCAACGAAAATGTAGTCACGAGCTAGCTGGGTGACATTGTCAGTATGTGTTCAGTGCAGTGTAAGATTCATCTCACAGTTGCGTGGTCATGCTGGTTCCATTGCTGTGACTTATTCTTTTCTTTTCTCGTTGAAGCTGTGAATAAAATTCAAACAGAACACTCATTTCGACAATATTAGCCCCTGCCGGCAGACCATACCACTAGGTTTATGCAGAAACACGAGGTTGGGTAAACGAACAGTTTGCCTTCGTCCATTGTTCCCGAGATAGAATTCGAACTTTAAGAGTTTTTTGGAGGGAAGAAACCAAAGGACGAGAACCAACAACGCACTAAACCCAGAAGTGACCTCAGGTCGGAGAAATCGTACCCGGGCCACAATGGTCTTCTGCCCTCCTTTCCCCAATATGCTAGCCCCCCTCCCCTCCCCTGCTAACCCCGCCATCACCATCACCACTTTTATCTGGCTTCTGACTACGTACCATGTCTAGCATTTCCCTAAGTCGCTGAAGTTCTCCATCCTTGTTGATGGTGTCTTTACCAGAACAGGAACGTTTAGCTGTGGTGACGGTAAATGTATCCAACGAGCTAAAGGTGCGCGTTCGAGCACGGTACTCCTCGTTTAATCCGTTTTTCCTAAGCGCTGCAATCTGAGAAGAGTCAATCAGTCACTTTTTTGAAGAGTTAAGAAGGGGATTTGAGATGATGGAAAATGGAAAATCATCATCATTATCATTCTCAGCATTGTCATCATAAACATCATCGTCATTAATTATTACTGTTTTTGGACGAGAAAATATCTCTCGGAGGTGGATTATAGAGAGGTACTAGGAAAAATAATCATTAAAATGGTTTAAAGAATAGCACTAATAACCATCATGTCCCTTCTCAAAATCATTTTAAATTTTGTACTTTCCCCTTTTGTCAGAGATGCTTGCAACGGGAAAGTTGACCGCACGAAAAAAAGGGAAAAGAAAAAGGAAAAATTTAACGTGAAGAAGGATGCATGATGTTGCAACAGAACTTGGGAAGGGTTACAGGTTAACCAACTAGCTGTATGATCAGTTAGGCGAAATTGCATTGTACAGAAGGATGGAAAATTAGTTAGTCACACAAATCTATTTAATTTAATGTTTACTTCAGTAGAAGAGAATAGTGATCAAAATGGATAACAAAAGGAAAAAATTCATGCTTGCTCGTTTTGAAAGTCTAAAGATGACATTTTTTTTTAAACGAATAGCATTCGTGTTTATAACTCCACTCAGGGAATCCTACCTTTGGTACGAACACAATGCAAAGGGTAGAAGTTGTGCTAAAAAGAATGCAGATGCCTGTTATTATAAACGACGCCTCGAATTGCTTTTCGTGTACAAAAGTTACAACTGGAGTTCCAACAATGCAAACGATAACGACGTTGTAAACGGCCATACCTGAAAAGACAGCGTGAAATAACCATAACACAATTATTTCACACATAGTAGTGCATTTGAAGCGAGAAGAGGTGTACGGAGATGCCGTTTACACTCCTTCCCGATACCAAAAACCTTTCCATTCTCATATCCTACTTTTCAGATCAAAGAATACCCCTTTCATAAATTTACAGAAGAGTTCTACATCCCGAGCCTAACACACCATGCAATGACAAAAGACAAGAAAAAAAAATGAGCAAGGGTTACAGTTTGAGAAGTATTCAGTCGTTCTTTCCCCATCCCTCAGAAATCAGCTCGTAGACACTTTCCGAAAAGAAAATGGTTCGTTCACCAGGACCTGGGTTGGGCCTAAACTCGTGAAAGTTTTACAACCTTTCATAATCCGTCTTCAAAAAGGCCTCAGTTATACAAGGAATTTCAACGCACACACTCCCAAGGCGAGAAGGAAAAAGATCACCAATAGTTCTAGTTACCGGAGAGGTTATTTCAGTTAAAAATTACCTATATGATGAGAGTCATTCAAGGCAGGAATCTTAACATTTCTTGTCTCCCAAGCCAAGAACAAACCAAACAGGAGCAATATTCCCTTGTAGGAATACAACAAGCCCAGCCAGATTTCAATGCGGTTGACTTCACACGTATATGTGTACGGCAATTGAAGAATATTGTCATCCTCGTGATTGTTCTGTGAACAAGCAGACCACATTCATCTTATTAGGAAGATTATAAATATTTGGTGGAGGCACAAGAACCTAGGGAACAGCGAGTACACAGAAAAAAACGGTGGGTACAGAAGACCAGTGGACTGACAACGGGCACAGATCTACGAAAGGGAAAATACAGGAAATGGGTTTTGTTTTGCTGAATTGGGAGAGAGGGCTTTGACTCATTGTCACTTAACCAAAACCTATTTCAGACCTGTGTTAAACCTTTCGCGTTTTTCCCGAATGAGGACTTTAAACCTTTTTTGAGAGGAAAAAGGAACTTTCAAAAGTACAATGTTTTTTAGGTCAGTTATCGCACACACTGTCAATAATTCTTTTTTCTTTAAAGAACAGAAATGTGTATATACTTCTTTACCAGTGCTGGGAGATATCTAATTTTCTTCTGAAAAGGATCCAAAAAGTTCCAAAGGAGAAGGATGACAGCGTCTATGAGAATGAGAACGCCAATGACGCCAAAGAGATGCAGGTCTCTGATAATCTGAAAGATCCAAAAACTTGTGCACTAACAAATTCCTCTACGTAAACCTGTACTCAAGCTAAGGTTACCCGGCGTCTCCCATGAAAAATTTCCTTAAAGGAATGCGTTTTCAAAGTATGTCAGCACGCTTGAAGATTTCTTTATTTTTACCAAAAGAGAATTAATTAATAAAAAACAAATCAAAACAGAGACGAACTGAAATTTCAAGGAGGGAACTGAGCAACTTGAAAAGCGAGGGGGAACTCTGAAAGGAGGAAGTAAAAAAATGAAAAGTAACACATTGTAGGGAAGTAAACATAAGTTAAAGAGATAAGAGAAAGACTTGTCACAGACAAGACTTCTATTTCTTACCAGTTTCTTTGCGCTTGTTATCCTGGTGACTTTGTGAACGCGCCACGTTTTTGAAAACAGGGAACCAAAGACAAACGTGAAGCCGATACAAATAGTAGTAGTCCTTGTCTAATTCAACGAAAAAAGATACAATAAATGAGTCACAGGAGTAGGAAAAAATTTTGCCGACTGATTCAGCTAAGTTAATATTCTATGGAGATGCCCCATTTGCGAGAAACAGTAGGCTAATTGGTTAAGAATATATGAAAGTCATATATTTGAACTGCGGATAAAGACGTGAATGAAAGTGATCCTCGCAGTAATGTGCACTACTTAGGCAGTATATTAGGCAGTAGTGGAAATAAGGCCTGAAAAAAATTCAGGCCTGTACGGGATTTGAACCCATGACCTCTGCGATACCGGTGCAGCGCTCTACCAACTGATCTAACAAGCCAACTGAGAGCGGGTCATGATGTTGGCTTGTTAGCTCAGTTGGTAGAGCGCTGCACCGGTATCGCAGAGGTCATGGGTTCAAATCCCTTACAGGCCTGAATTTTTTTCAGGCCTTATTTCCACTACTGCCTAAGTAGTGCACATTACTGCGAGGATCACTTTCATTCACAAGAAGGCTAATTGTTGGCTAGTGAGATTCCAGATCCGCATAGAGTTGCGGCGCAAATCCAGTGACTGAATCGGAGTCAGTCAGTGCCTTTCCTACGAATCAAGCTCTCTCTCCGCACAGGTGTGTGAATTTCTCTGGTATTGGCACCTGCACAGTCTTAGTCTTTTCATCAGAATTGGAATATTTATTACAGAATGAAGCTCTAGGGAAGATAACTTCAATCTGTAACATTATCAGCGGTTGCAAACTTAAAAATATCTTTTCTAGGAGAACAGAAGGGAACTTACCGTGCAAAGTTCAGTCTTAAGATGCTCTCCATCGAATGCAAACAGAATGACAGATATGTACGACAGAATGCAGCCCAAGATTATCATATTGTTCAGGTTTGGACTCGACATTTTGACAAATCTGACAAGAATTAGAAAACGAAATAGTTGACTGGCGGGAACGCGAAAAACCTTCTTTCTTCTGGTGTATGACATAATGTAAACATGCGATTGCATGACATCGAGTTGACATGACATGACAGGGCATGAAAATTCATTGGTTAAGAAATCTTTGCAGTTGCCAGTCGCAAAATTAATGTTTGGATAAAACGATACAAAGATAGATCTGTTATTTGATCTGGTAATCTACTTATGGATTAGTATCATTCTATTTTCCAAATGATTTATTATCAAACTAGTCGAGATGAGAAAATTTAACATTGAAAATAATAATCGGACATTACAATACTCTGACTTATTGGGAAAAAAAATATGACCAAAAAAACTGCTAGATGGCAGAATAAGCAAATTCACACCACATATTCAATAAGACGAGAGACGGATCTCGTACAGACTTAATTCCATTATCAATTTTTATGAAATTTTTTATGTATAATCAAAAAATGGACTTAAATAGAATTCTTTAAATGATCATGGACAATTATCTAGTGGCAATACACTATGATGCCACGGCTCTTTATTTTTTGACTTTTTAAAATATCAAACAGATTGTTCTACCTTTTATTCCTGTTCTTAATGTTAAAGCACAAGAACGTAAATGCTAAGAAAATTCCAAAGGAGGCCATAGAACACATGAAGAAAAACACAGACATGGACATTGTGTACAGCTGCCTGTGTTCACTTTGTCGATCCATCGGCGCTCTCCCTCCTGAGAAAAGAATAATAAAAAACAATGCAAAGTCTGAACGAACAACCACAAAAATTTGTCAGCTTGTGGCTTCGTAGTGCAGTTAATAATAGCGCCCGACTAGAGTCTGAGAGGTACGAGTTCGAAGCATATCTTTCATCTCAATTTTTTCAGGCCTATTGTTCTGAAATTTCTGAAAGTTCGGCTCACATGCCATGATCAATTGTATGTCATTTACAGCTAAAAAAAATACAAAAAAACATGTGACTATTTCTTCTAGTTACAAGTCTTGACACATGTTTGAAATTTCTTTAAATAATCCTAGTTAAAGTTCACACGGCAACCAGGTTGACAATCAGACATAGTTTGATGCTACTCTGGTTTGCAGATTTAATGAATGTAACCGAAGAAGTTAAAATTCATAGACCCAACGTTTCGACACTCCTGTCTAGTGCCTTCATCAGGGGTGATCTAAACGCTGCAACAAGAGGTCCTTTTATATGATCACTAATTAGCAGACTTTTTTTCTGACGAGGTGTAAATAGGCGTCAGGAAGCAGACCGCCATCGTCACGATTTAAAGGAGCGTGAGCGGAGTTAATATGCCAAGCCTCCAAACAAAGACGCTGGTGGTAACGCCGATAAGTGGTGATAATTTTAGAATTATCCCACCCAATTGTATGGTTGGTTAGGTATGTATGCTCCGATAAACCTGAATTTTCCTTTTTGCAAAGAAAAACCGCTTTTTGGTGCTCTTTTAACCGTGTACCAAACTGACGTTTGGTCTGTCCGATGTATTCGTTGTCACAGTCATTGCAAGGAATAGAATAAATGGCGTCGGTTCGTTGTTCTTTCGTGACAGGATCCTTAGGTTTGGCGAAAATATGCCCCAAAGTCTGAAAAGGTTTTTGAGCAACTTTAACGTTGTGGCTATTCAAAATTCTCTTGATGGGTTCAATAACACCCTGTATGTAAGGAATAACAGCCAAACCAGTCGCTGGTTCCCTTTCATCAAGAGCGTTACTATTTGTAACTGGTTTTTGGCAGTTACGGAGAAAAGTTTTTGTATAGCCATTTGCCTTTAGGACATCGGAAACATATTTCCTCTCCTCAGCCTTCGAATCGATTGAAGATGGTAGACAGTTAGCACTCCTAAGTAAGGTTTTGGCTACAGACTTTTTATGGCAAATAGGGTGGTGAGAATCGAAAGCGAGGTATTTGTCGGTGTGTGTAGGTTTACGGTAGACACTTGTCTCTAAATTACCCTGAACCCCTCTGGACACATTTAAATCAAGAAAGGGCAAGTGTCTATCCTTTTCACGCTCAAGGGTGAATCGGATCGACGGCTCTACTGAATTCAAATGCGACAAGAGGCGCTCCGCTTCATTTCCGGATGCCGCAGAAATAACATCATCGACATATCGTTTCCAGAAAAAGGGTTTAACCGGTGAAGTGGCTAAGGCCCTTTGTTCCACATCTTCCATTACCATGTTAACAATGACAGCAGAGACGGGCGAACCCATCGCTGTACCAAAAACTTGTTGATAGTATGTGCCGTTATATGTAAATTGCGTGGTTTTGAGGCAAAAAGACAGCAGATGAATAATATCCTCCACAGGCAAAGAAGTTCTTTGTCCTAGGGAAGCATCTTCTCTGAGTCTTTCCTCCGCAACCTTAACGGCAAGATCAACTTGGATTTTGGTGAAGAGCGAAACAACGTCGAAAGATACTAATTCTTCACAAGCGTCAAGAGTTTTATCTCTTATGAAATCCGCAAATTCGCAGGAATTTTTGACAGTGTAATCAGTATTCCCAACAGCAGGCGACAAAATTCTCGCAAGATAACCAGAAATTGCATAAGTCGGAGAATTAACAAAAGAGACAATGGGTCTCAAAGGAATTCCCGGTTTATGAATTTTAGGTAAGCCATAAAAACGTGGACATAAGCCGTCACTCTTGTATAACATTTTTGAGTCACTAATTCTACCAACCTTTTTTCAAATCAAGCAACATTTTGTTTAACTTTCTTTGAGTTTTACTGGTAGGATCAGAGTTTAAGACAGTATACGTACTCTTGTCATTAAGCAGAGACAAAACTTTGTCGTGATATTGCTGTTTGTCCATAACCACAACACAATTACCCTTGTCAGCAGATAATACGAGCCTGTCCGGTTTAGACTAGCTCTGTCAGGATAAGATGCCGAGTTTTATCACAGATTGCCATTGGTAATCTGTGATAGTAAGATCAGTTTTTTTCTTATCCAATATGTGGTTTTTACAATTGAAAATTAAAATCTTCTTCATAGAGAGATTTGAAAACGCCGGTCATACCTACGAAAGCGTTGAAAACGCGAGAATCATCAAATACATTAGTTGAATCCTACTCCAGAAAACATTAGCCTCATGTTTACTGTATTTTGATGCCTTCGGAACAATTACTTTTGAAGGGGTTTTGTTTTCTAACGCAAGGTTACTAAGGCAAGCAAAACCGGCTTACGATTAAAGTTTACCTTCCCAGCGAAAGTCTTTATCAGGATAAAAATTCAAGGAGGTTCGTCCAACATCGTGACTGCAGATGGCTTCAAACTCTGCTCCTATTTTGATTACAGGAATAATTGTTACATGGCATGTACATCTGGAAAGGGAACTTTTCTCTTCCCTTCCTTTTCCCTTGTTACTTTATCAAAATGAATTTAACTTATCATAATTACTGAAATTATTCGAGCCGTTTTCCCTGTTTTGATGATACAATCGAGCCCAGAATGCTCCGTTTAAGATTTTGACGAAAAAATTCAACTATACACCAAAATAATTATTATTATCCAAATCGAGAGTAAATTACATGATTTTACTAACAGTGGGGAAAGTAATCGGGATTGCATTAGTTTTGCTTTTCTTTGCTCTGTGATTGGTCCTGAAATCACGCACCACTTACTCGACCAATCAGATGCAAAACTAAAACCAATCACGACTTCGTCGCCTGAATTTTCCCACGCTTTAGGCAGTTTGCTTGTATTACTTTGAATTCTCATTGGCTCCCTAGGGTATTTTCCTTTCTTCTGATTGGCTGTTGTAATTACTCGGGCAGTTTTCCTACACGATCATACTGTGTGAATGTAGAAAAGCATAAGATACCTCTTAGCTGTGATATTTCAAACACGCCGGACCTGTCTCCTTTGTCATTTAGTTTTAAGAAGCTCTAAAAAGGAAACATTATACTACTTTAGGAATGTCATTTTTACGGACAGAAAACGATAATTCCAAACTACTCAATACTTTTTATCAGTTGACAATTAAAGCTGCTAACTTTTCTTGCTCTGCACATTCCAGCTCAATCAAACTCCATTGTGGCACAGCGCAACATTTGGAATTCCTGAGACTTTACAACCTTGAAGGTGGCGCTAAGCTCACTTTTTTTCAAAACTTCTAAGACTTTATCAAAGATGGCGGTAATTTGACCTATTGTGATTGGATTTAACGATATGCTGCTTCTTTAGTAGTTTCTATGTTATATCCCACAAGAATGACTATTTAATTCAATAATCGCTGGACCGCTTGTTACTTATTACCATTGTCTCTTTCGCTTTATAAAGTTAGCCTCGCTAACCTTCATGGAAGTGTCTGAAGGAAGAAAGTATTTTCATGAAAAAAAACAAAACAAGAGCTTAAAAGAGGGGAAAACAACAAAATAAAACAAACTAACGAGGAGAGGCAGGCACAAGAAACCAAATCAACGATCTTAGTAAAGATATTCATGGATCAAACTCAACCAATCAGAAATCTTCATAGAAACGTTTTTATCTTACACTTACCGTAACGCCTTGAAATTCCGTTGATAACAGATTTTTCTTCATTAGGTCTGAGAAATTTCTGTCTCCAAATGCGACGGTGTCAAGAGGAATCGTTGGAGCCAAATTTTGCGCTGTTCTATTCAACGCAAGGGCGACAAGCCAGGCTGCATCATATGCAAACCCCTTGTAGCTTGTGTCTGTTATATCTGATTTCCTAGCCTTTTGAATGAAACTCGATTTGAACTCCTCGGGTGTCTGATAAAGAAAGGCACCTAATTAATACTGAGTGAGGGATGATACCGTACATCATGAAGAGAAAATAGGCCCCAGCTTGTAAAACAGGAGACAGATAATCATGGAATCGAAACGGAAGGAAAAGTGAAATAATAAACAAGAAATTGTGAGCGTAGAAGCTGGATAATAATGATAGTGATATGTAGTTACAGTAGGAATGATAATAATGATAATGATAATTTTCAATTGGTCAAATCAAATTTAAATAAAGAGTAACGCAAGGGAACACGTACAGACAGAACTCGTTCGTTGAGATATCAATCTAAACACAAGAAGAGAAATTTCAAATCTATGCACGCTCTCGTACTGTTTATATATATATATATATATATATACAAACACCATAGTTCTTTACTGATAAGAAAATTTCAGCATGCAAAAGACTTTAGATTGGGAGTGGTGAACGCTTTGCCGTTCATTAAACAACCTGATAGAGTGGCGAGAAAGGCTGATTAGAGGTATCAAACACAAGTAAAAAATATCATAATTTTACACGTGCGCGATTGGGACTTTTCTCAGGGTTGGCGCTTAATTATCAGGATATCGAGTTACTCTTTGAGAAACGTTTGTTAAAGAAAACGATATTCATCATATAAACTACGGTGTTATAGAAGAATTTCCAGCCCTGAGTAAAGCCGTAACAACGCACGTGACAAAATACGATATTTTTTCACGTGTGTTTGATATCGCCAATCAGCTGCTGATATGCCACCGTGTAGAGTTACTAAAGCTGACGTTTTGAGCGTTAGACCTTTTATTCGCTCTTACTCACTCGCCTTTCGCGCCCCTCGGTTAGTTGATGAATGAACGGCAAAACTTTCGCCATTCTCAATCCAAGGTCATTTGTCGGAATTTTCTCGGATTATGGTTGCGAAAACACTGAAACATCCGTATCGCTTACAGACAGTGACCTTCCCCTTCTGGGAAAGAAAACCGAAGTTCGACCAGAAAAGCCGAAAGTTACGTATTCAGTGGCTTTGGCAACTGGAGCATTTGCCACAGGCCGATTTTGGCTGTGCACCTTAAAGTTCTATTCTGTCGGTAAAGACAAAGTCAATAACTGACAATTTTGTATATTAAAAATTACGGCCATTGTTTTTTTTTTTGGAACGATTCAACGAATGTCTTTATCTTGAGCCAACGCACTAGTCGGGTACTGTCGATCCTATTATATCGTTCATTAATAAATTCGACTTTAATACTGTGTTTGAATGTTAAACAAAATAATACATAGTTGCTTGCAGATATGGCATCTCTCCTCTCGTGTTCAACTTGACATGGCACTCGTTCGCTGCGCTTACTCGCCGATGAACTATCGAGTCGAACACTCGAAGAGAATTCCATATCTACGCGCGTCCACGTATTATTCTCTATACATCAAAATGGCTGTATATCTACCAACCATTCCAGACACTGTTTGATTCTTTGAGCTGCTGAGCCACATATAGTTAACTAAGAGGGTCCCTTTTGCGCCCTCGTTGACTTCTTCTGGTGTGCAGTTGACATTAGCAAAAGTTCTCCTCCACCATCCATCTTTGTCAGGAGTGTGAACAACCCAAGCGTACTTTCGCCCGTGCATATTATGCTTGTAGATCTGATAGTGAAAAAATCACTCTATTGGATTGACTGATTGATTGGGATTATGTCTTAAGGAATTAAAGGGTTCGGCCTGCTACCAAAAAAACACTTACGGACCGAATATATATATGCGAAAAAGTAAGACGTGGAGTTGTAGATTGAAAAAAAACAGTTGTTATCTGATTGAAACATATGAATTGTGAATTTCTGATCGTAACGTAATAGCCTTAGGTCGCTCTTTGTCGGTATGTTAGTAATTATATAAATAATCGACAAGGGACGACGTTTTTCACTTTTTGTGTTTTTTGTTGTTGCTGTTGTTTTGCTTTGTCTTTTTAACTTAGAGAAAGTTTTTTCAAAACCTTTCTGACATTCAGACCCTGCCATCTCAGCAAAACGCAATTTTCTGAGAAAGCGTTCTGGTAAAGACTTTAAAACTTTAAAAGAGAAGTGAAATGTAAATATATTCAGTATAAACGAAAATGACGTCAGAGCGTCCGATATTTTCTCCTCAACTTTCTCTACCAATTTTGTTCCAATAAAAAGACACGTATACTTTTTTAAAGAGTTTCTAACACAAGTGTAAAAGATTGTGAGTTTTGTGGGACTCTTATTGATATGGGGCTTTGCTGCGCGCGCTGCGAGATCCGCTATAATTAGTTAAGATGATGGTGAGTTAGTATGAATGGACATTTGGTTCGAAATGCATTCCTTACCTCGCACATAGTTCTGGTTGAATAGGAAAAGAAACCAAATATGATCCTAGCATCAATATCCTGTGTGGAATTTAAGGAGTGGATACCACGGGTAAAAACATGGCCAAAAACATATAAGCGCTTGGTAGAGGCTCAGTACCCGTTGCTTAGTGGCCTACCGATGAGATTGATTTCTTAACTTGAAATTCTTTTCACCTGTACTCGACCATCGAGTATATAGATTTAGTTGAAAGCTTGATTTCCAAGAAGAATTTGATGAATACCATTGTTTTGAATGAAAAAAAAAGATGATGATTCGGATGTCCGGTGATAATGATACGAAAATCTAAAAAACATGGTGGGTTTGATGGTAAGAATCAAATAAATACGAATATTCTAAATTTAAAATTCTGCTATTGAGGTCAAAGCTCCCTTTTTAAAAGTTATGTTTATGTTTCTTATCATGATTACTACAAGTATTATTTCCTTGCGAAGCTTATCTTTCAAATTCAGGAAAAATCGTTTGGTTTTATAACAGTACCTTAAGATGTTTTATTTGATTCTTTGGATCCATCAAAAAGCTTCCATAAGAGATCACTTCAATTCCATTCTTTTTGCATTCTTCTCTGAGGCTTGTTGCTGCCTATGAAATTTTCAACAGAGACGATATATTAGTTCCGTTCGAAGTTTTTAGTATGGCTGACAAAGTTTCTGATATCCATCCACACTACTCTTTCTTCTTCTGAGAATTTTTTATATCTTCGTTGCAGAAGGCCAAAAGACCCGGTTTTAGCTACGGAGATCGGATCGGAAAATGTTCCCTGATTTGCATGAGCACTCAAGCCTCAGACCTCTTCAAGCCTGAAGAAGTGAAAGTTGTCGATTAAAGACGGAAAAGAATACTTACGGATGTAAAAAGTTCTCTACTCTGGTACAGTATGGCCACTCGAGTCCACGCAAATGTTTTTGCGATAGCAATAAACGTACGATTTGCGGCAGACAATGCTGGAACCGTTCTGAAGAAATAAGGGAATACGTCTTTCTTGGATAGTTCGCCTGAAGCTGCAGAAGGAGACACCTTTGAGTAAAAATAAAACAACAAAACGATAATTTCCTTAAATTTTTTTTCATAACGATATTTTAGTTATTGACACAAGGAAAAGACAAACCAGGGGCTTCTAACAGGAACGAATCAATGGCCTCATTCTTGAACGAACGAACGAATGCCTATTTCCAAGACATAACGACTGACCTCGATCTGATGTTGCCAGTGAAAACCAGCGAAAGTGAAGCAGAGGCGGACATGATAGAGATAGATTTTGTAATCGACGAAGACAAATATGAAAAAGTATGGACTTGACACATCTTGCTGGGAAAAAAACCTCAGTTAGGTCTGTGTGATGCCAAGCCAACACCTTGACTGCCCCCCGGTTCTGTGTCTCCTTATTTGTGTACTTTTGTCACTAAACTAGATTAATCTATGGTAGTGCTGCGTCGTATTACAAGATAATTTGGTTTCATCGAATGAGCTGATAGTGTTAATTTCGAATCTGTCAATAGCCCACTGTTACTTTGTCTTGTTGTTTACTTCTCTGTTACTGACCTGAATCATGTTGTAGTACTTGGCTGTCGCACCAGCCGACTCAGCAACATTTGACCGCGAAGGACCAAGTATGAGACGGACTTTTCCTTCGTTTAAGAAATTGTAGAAAACTTTGTTCCCGCGACCAGTGTCTCCCTACGGAAAAATGAAATATGAAGAATAAGAGAAAGAGGATCTTTATTTCCTCGTCATTTTTCTACGTGCATCCTGCTCAGTCGACAAAGTAGTTGAGAACCGAGGGATCATGTAATCGAACGTTGGGTAGTTTGTTGTATTAAAAGATCAATGAGCTGTGAAATAGGGCGATCCAATCCGATCCGATCTAATCACCGCCCGAACTTTTAAGACGGGAAAATATATCGTCTTTAGACTTGAAATATTTGATATCTCAGAAAAGCGTGAACATCGTGCCTTTGTTGTGTTTTCGCGAAAAATGTAACAGTTCACTTCTTTGCTAGCTGACTTCCGGTGATTCCCGAAATGTTAGCGGACTTACAGATAGACTGAGTGAGTTAAGAAAAGATCTTAAGGGAAATTCAGTCTCTTAGATAAATCCAATACCTGCGTGTCTCGAGAGATCAATTTTAACTCATAGTCTCTTAGAATATCATCTCTTTTGTTGATATCTTCAAAAGCCATCTCGATGGCCAGCGGTATTCCAGCTCCCCACCATGCTCTCTTGCCAGTCATAGGCGCCATTGAACCAACATATAATGTCGTTCTCTGTCCTGTTTTATTTGATAAGTTTTCAGCATTTAGCTCATATATGATCATGACAAATGGAGCAGAAAAGGAAAGTACAAAAGACCATCTTGTGATTACAAATTTCATGTTTCCTGCTGCTGTAATCCTGGAAGGAGTAAAAGAGAATACCTTTAAAGATCTTAGAATTGGGACCTTTTTAACGGTATATCTTGGCAATTATAAGAAAAGAAACGCCTTTTAAAGGAGTTTGTCCTATAATGAAACACGTGTTTGTTTAACTTGCAACACCTTGCTTTTGATTACGGAAGCCACGCTGTTTCCTACTAAGCCAGATCAAACAAAGAGACAAAATGACCATATGCTACTCATGAGAACAGAATTTTCTTGGAAAACCTTTCGTTTTATCGAGAAAAATTGAAGAGTTCAATGCTATTTTACACAGGTTTGATTTTCATGTACTACGAATAAATGTATCCCCTGTTCCATTTTAAACATGCAATAATTACTCAGAAGGATTTTTTGTCGAATGAGAAGAAACAATAACAGCATCTGATATTGTGTCAATATCTACGGTACATCTGGAATTAATTTGAATAAAATACTGGAAAAAAAAAGGAAAACGATACAGTTCATGTTTTAATTTGTGGCTGACAGTTCGGATAATACGCGAAAGGAAATTACACTTGTGTTGCTGTCGTAATTGACGAGCAGATAAGTTTCACGTTGCAAAATATGAAATCGCACAGTCTTCTTATTCGTTCACTACTTACCTTACACATAAAAGTCATTCGTTGACAAAAAAATAAAAGCAAGCGAAAATGTCCCTCCTGTTTCCTTATATCCACTTTTTTGTTGTATTCACGGGGACACATTGCACTCTCGTACATGTAAATGGCCGCTCTTTATGCAATGCACGCAATTTTTAAAGCTCAAGCTTAAGGATCATGGTGAGTGTAACTTGTTGTAGATTATTATTGTGCGGTTGTTCAAAAGATTGGAAAAGATGCCTCATTTTAATTATTATTGCGGTATTTTACACGTCAAGCAAATCGGGCAAATCATCTTCCACCATAAAAGGGGATTCTAATTCACTTTAGTTTTACTTTGCAGCGGCCTTTCCTTTTTCTCGGAAATTCTCCACGAGTAAACAAATCTTTTAAAATTTTTTGGGAGATAGAATCGATATAAGGAGTCACAAAATAAAATGGCTTTTGTATACTGAATACATTTTTCCAAAAATAAATACTGCACATGAGATAATTAACTCCCTGAAGCAGCTGCTTATCTTCAGAAACTGTTTCACTGCCTTCTAATGCAGCACTGTAACTATAGAGGCGATAGTAATCGGGCATTCATGGTGATATAAAGTTACAAACGAAGCCCTCAACTTTATGCCTTAAAGCGCCGGTATATCTACCTCTTAAAATGTCGTTTCTTTCGGTGACACAAAAGAAGCGGATCTTCCCACACACGCATATTACTTAGAGGAAAAAAACCACTCAATCATTAGTGTTGACGCGATCGTACTGTTTTATTTAAAGTAAACCTACACCAAATCTAATGGCATCCAAGAAGATTAAGTACGTGCGTCAGTTTGCGCTTTTTAAAACTCAGCTAGATTTCCTTTTACTGAATATGCTATTTCAAACCTCTTCCTTTTCATGCGGGCATGTAAATAATTTGGGAAAAGGAAGAATATTATTTCTTGAAATTAAAAGGTGGCGATTGAAATTCTGGGTTACCATGGGTTATTAATCGTTCCGTGTTGCATCATGGGAGCACTGCCTTGCATGCATTGCGGATACTTTGGATTACATCATTTAAAGTGCAAGACGCTCTGGAACAGTTTTCTGTGTTCTCGTACGGAATTTTAGACATCTCAAAGTCAGACAATAAAATCTGCCAACGAACTGCGGGTAAATTATTTTCTAGTAGGAATATTTGTTGGACAGAACCTGTTGATATTTTTAGTTTGCATGTAAAGAATCTGGTAAAGCATAAACACGGCAACTTTTGATAAGGCATAGAATATAACAAATAGATTACCTGTTACAGTTTTCGCGAAAACAGATGACAAACGCACAATGTTTACGCTTTCCTGAAAGATCAAATACTTTAAGTTCCTCCTGGGAAATGTTATTTGAGCTCTACTTTGGCTCTAGAAAAAAATTTTGGCAGCGATTGGATCGCATTGGGTCGCTTTATTCTACAGTTTATTTTATAGGTCTTTTAATATATCATGCTGCGTCTCAGGAGCGCTACCATGCATGCATTGCGGGCACTAGGGTTCGGTCATTCGACCTGATCAACAGGATGCCCAATTCATAGTCACCTCTTAAGCATTGTGATAACAAGGATCATTGACATAATCAACAAACTGTCTTCACTTTCATCGCCTTTCTTATTCATGATTCCCTGTTATCAATTATCATTATTATCAATATACGCGGCCAAATAGAAAATCGGCCTCTTCAAAACACACGCTCAGCGGGCCGCAAAAGACTGACAGCGGGCTGCTAATGCATTATCAGCCCTACAGCTGATTGGTTCTTGCTTCATCATCCGAAGTGACTTTGAATTCGTCATTCACTTAGCTTGTATTATTAAAACTCGCATTCTTGATATCATTTGGCCTTGTTTATTGATAATAATGATAATGACATGACTTTTTGAGGGAATATTGTTTATTTGCGCCCGCGTAGTGTCATTTGCGGGCCGAGCGCAAATGACACTACGCGGGCGCAAATAAACAATATTCCCGAAAAAAATCATGTTATTCCCTTATTGACATAAATATCTGTTTCCTAGTTGCTCTTTTCATCATATAACTGGGAATAATGAATCTTGCTATTGTTATTTGAAATCCAAACCCGACAGAGCATCACCTGCCGAAACTTGAAATAACATTTTCCATCAGTTAAGTCTTTCGACGACATAGTTTAGGTTCTAACCAGGGCTTGACACGGTCATGAAAATTACGTTCGGAATTAAAAAAAAAGTCTCCAACAACAAACAATCTAGCCATCACGGAGAGACGGAAATAAAATTGTCGAGGAGGGAGATTTTGAAACTGAAGAAGATAACAGTGGCTCGACGCTTTTCTCTTTCCTTGGAAATCTAACGCCTGTGGGTTTCGTCAATCATTTCATACATTTTTCTCGAAGAGTTTCAGAAGACACCAGCCTCTCACTGTTAGCGATTGCTCGGTACGAGTGTGTTGTGCAGAAGAAAAAAAAATTTGGTCTTTATGCTTTCGAAGGTCTCAAGTGTATTTTATAAAATGAATCAAAAGGTTAGAAATGTCTTGAAATAGAACAAAGCATTTTAGATCGATTCTGGTATTAAGATAATTCTTCACATACCTTACAAATTGAAGCTGATGCTTACATGTATGTTACAAGCGCGAAAAAAAGGATGGAGTTTCTCTAAGACTTTTTGGTTCGGTGATAACTGACACCTTTCTTGAGGCAAATGATTCTTCTTCCTGTTTGGTAGACAACACTTGTTGTAGAATTTCGAATAGAAATATATTATTTATGCCTATTGGAAAAAGTCATGCATTGTCAGAAAAAAAAAGATGACGGTTACTTCAAAAAGCAGAGTTTTTTTAATGGATTTCTGATTTATAATTATTTGAGTCGCACAATTTCGGGAACATTGCAGTAAACGTTTCCAATGACGCCGTTCTAGTCATTAATGAGAAAGATGCATAACGGAAAATTGAGGTAAGTTGGCAAACAAACACTTCCGAAGATCGTGACATGCATAATAATGACGCCAAGTTTGTGCCTGTTTTTAAGCAGCATGTTTAACTATCAACCATCTGAATGGGGGCGTCATAAGGAGTCAGAACTCTACGGATTTAATTTTCCCGAGACATTGAGAACAGGAAGTCCTCCAAAGTAATATCATTAGATCTTTTAAGTGTCGAATAATACAAAAGTTTTTCAGTACATAACAAATTTATTACTAACTTTTAAAGCACGCCCACAAGTAGCGGTCTGTTCCTCTGCCATGTGTTTGCTCACATGAATTATGCATTGGGTCTTACGCGTCAGAAAACTAAATGTTGTCACATTTTAAAACCGCTTCATTTTAGAGAAGCGTTTTAAACCACAAGATCTTTCATTCACCGAGCTGCCTCTCCCTTTTTAGATTGCGTTCTTCAGCATGCAGTGACAGACACGTTTGTGAACAGTGAGAGAAAATGTTTGCGAGATTATTGATTTTCAGCGACGATTTCTGTTCATCCAAATGTCTGAAGTTCAAAATAAACTTCCTGACATTTTCTACTAACTAATGACAATTGCATTGCCGCAAGGGCAATTTATATATTCAGAATAAACAGGCCGGTTTGCAGAGAACTACCTCTGACGAATAAAAGAAACTTGACATATAGTTTTGACTTTAGCAGATTTTAGCTTCAGTTCTAAGTAAAAAGTGGGCTTTTAAAATTTAGCGCTTTCTCAAATTCGTCTCCACGACGTTTGGAAAATATAATATTACGACCATTATAGCCTTACGCAGAAAAATTAAAGAAATTTGACGTACTGGTAGAAAGATATCATATTTCGGCTTTAAATCGTCCAAAAATATTCGCGCACAACGAAACATGGTTTTTACTTACCGTGGACAAAGGCTTTTCTTTATCGGAAGAACTTAGGGACTAGGAACGTTAAGAAGGAAATAGCGCTTTCGAAAGGAATTAACGTAACTAACATGCTCTCAGACAGATAATATAATTTCTTGCGTGCAGGTGAAAATTCTACGAGGGTCGGTAAGCGGTGTGGAAATCGACCGTCAAAAAATTCCTTTTGATAGAAAACCGATTTGATCATTTTTGTGTTTGTTTTCGTACCGACAGTCTCTGTCAGGCTTGCTGATATAGTTTCTCCAAAAAAGTAATCAATGAGTTGATATTAGTCTGTGTTTCTTAAAAGAAAATAAACTCAAGCTCCCAAAGATGTTTAAGCGGACTTTCCGGGGACGGAGTGCATTAGTAAAACTGATAACAGGACGAGGAAGTGGTCAACATGAATTTACTGGAGCGGTTGTTATGTTCGTTGTATTAAACATTTCAACGTTGTTTCAAAACACAATTAGCATATCGCTCCGGGAAAAAACGAGGGTAAGTTTAACAATCACGCGATGTGATAAACTTTCCTTACTTGCGGTTATTTTTCTTTCTAAAAACAGCTGTTAAAAATCCTCTTAAAGAATTTGTGTTTCGTTCAATAGCATTGTTCACGCATCCACAAATATTAACTATTTTGTCGATGTTTTTTTCTCATGAAATTGTTAATATCCTTGTTATATTATGCAAGAGGTATACGATTTCCATACGAAGTTCGTGAAGCCAAGTGGGAGAAGCCTGTAAATATTCGCATTGCATTTTTCTTCGTCTCTCAAATCGTATTCGTAACAGGACAGGGTCAGCATAAAATAAGTATTTTATTTGCTTAGTTTTTTGTGTAGATGTCCATTGTGCGTATGAAAATCAACAAGAATTCACAATGGGAATCCGCATGATTTAAATTGTAATATCCTCAAAGCTGCAGGTGTTCAAAACTTGCCATTTGTGCGTATGCAATTTTATGACTTCCCTTATTGTCTTGGCTGGAGGGATTATGAAAAATTGAAATTCCTATTCCATTGATAAGGAATATACGATGGTCAGGCTTACCTCTCATTATGCAAACTATCTACCTAGCTGAGTTGTTTTAACTTTTCCGTGCGCGTTTTCAATCAACTTTTAAATTGCATGTTTGCTGAAAATTTTCTTTCGTTGAAATTCTTCGTAAAGAGTAGCAGGAATGATTTGTGAAGGTAGAAAGATAGATTATAGAAAGGTACTTTTAATCGCGAAGACAGTTTAAGAGGGCGCACTGATGTTTATTCATTAAGATGCGGCTACACGCAATATTAACTGGAACAGCGAGAATTACTTAAATGTGGTTAGATCTTGCTGTAAGTTGTTTACTAGAGATTGGGAAGTAAAGTAATGTTTAAGGTAGTTATTGAATTGTGTTAAACATTTCAAAGGAGACATCTGGATATAACATTAAAAAACATCGCAATGCAACAGTCATTGTACCCCGACTTATATGAGCACGTTTTACTAACACACTAAAGGCAAGGGCAAGGGCAATATTTTTTCTCCAAATTCAATAAACAAATTAAAATAACCAAACGAATCTAAATTTGAACGTATTGCATCAAAAACGTGCGCGCTAAATCTTGCCATGTTCTTACCTTCACTAATGATCCATCAAAACTGTTTGAGAGCAACTCAGATTACCCTCGACATTGAAATTGCTAATGAAAGGATCGGACCACTCGACAGAACTATTTAAATCCCTGGTCAGCTTTCTGGAGGCTGGATGAATGAAATTGCTTTGCTCCGGCCTTTGTGGATAGCGTGTACAAGATCTAAGCTTTGCACGGAAAAGCACTCAGCGCTTTCCCTTTAAAAAGGCGCGTTACCATGGTTTTTTGCGATTATGATAAGCTTGCGGTATCTACCTTCAACCCATCTGCTCTCCTTACAATAGAGGTAACGGTTATGGTAAAAGCATAAAAACTTGTAATGTCTAAAATTAGTTTATTCACACTGTGTGGCTTACAATGAATTGGGAAAAATTGCATAAGTTTATTATCGTTTGAAATCCATTTGAACTGAAATGATTTCCTTCGTCAAATTTTTGTTACCTGTTTAAATTATCATTGCTTAGTATTGATTCTATCAACTTAATTAATACAACGTATATTGCTTCCTTAGCGACAAACCACTTAAATGGCGAAGGGTTTTGAAACGTGATATTTCCAACGAGCAGAGCAGGCGTTTTTAACTTCATCAACTTGATGGGTCAAAAGGATCGTAAAAGGAGTATTTTAAATTTGAATAACGATGCTTAACTGTGGGCAAATAAACAATTAGCTATATCCGCGTGTTAAGATAACAGAGCAGCAGTTCTTAAATAAACAGCACAGGAAAATTGTGTTAATTTGGTTCGAGGGCCTTCATGGAGTTCATTAACTAGCAATAACGGATAAATCAGATCTCATAGTCGAGATATGTTTATCTGGTCTTTCTCCCTCCACTAAAAAACAACTTTTCAAATTCTTAGTTTGAACTTAAATCAGTTGGTTAATGGCCACCTTAAAAAGGAAGCGTTCTTTCGACTTTTGTCAAAAATTGAGGATCTCATTAATTAGATTGCCATCATGAAGATGATGTTTTTACTGATGTGCGCATACGTAGTTTTATATTTGACGTCTGCGGATATGAAAACTATAACTTCCTTGCTGTGAACATACAAAATTTTAGCTTGAGAGTAACCAAAAAAACTTCTCTTCTTTGAAAGGTCTATGAACCAATGTTTCGTTTGGCTAAGCGAAATGTATTTTTTTAAGAAAACAACAATTTTCATCGAGTGAGTTGATAATATAAATTGGCCACAGAAAAGAGTTTCTAGTGCAAACGTTTCGAACGTTAGCCCTTTCGTCAGAGCAAATAGAGGAATTGTGGGTTGTGTACAGAAAGATGGAGCTACGCTTTTAGTGGTAAACTCGAAAAACACAAGAATAAATTAGTTGAATAAGAGCCGTCTGTTCATATCGTGAGAATTGAGCGCGCCGATTTCAAAGGTATATATTTGTTCTAGAATCGGCTTTTCCAACTGCCTAGATATTAAGAACGGCCTCAGACTGCCATGTATTGCTTCGAATGATTTGGGGATTAAAAATGTTTCAACAGGTTCTTTGGCATGATATGAACTGTCCCTTGTAGGAAGGAAAATTTTCCTTTCCTTTCTCGTTGTTGCTACAAGAGGGATTGAGAACTGGGCAATGGATATTGTTGAAAGAATATTTGGGATTTCTCTAACCATCTAATACTCTTGCTGAGATATGTCCTTTTTATTCTCTCTTGATTTCTTATACAACTTGAATGCTTGCAAAAAAAGATTTCAGCTTGATTGGGAAATGCTGTTCATCCGTTTATAAAGTTTACAGTGACTAATCTGACAATCCTTCATCGTCCATAATATCACACTTAGGGGAGGGGTAGGTACGCAGTTATTCAGAAACTGCCATTGATTCTAACCAATGGATCGCTCTAAATTATGGAAACTGAATCATTTTAATATTTTTCCATCGAAATGCGGACTTTTTACCATTGATTTACTACGTAAAATTTTTATACACTCCCGCTTAAGATCCGGCAAAGCAAAAACAAGATTAACTATGAAAAAAAATTGTTAATACTTACTTACGTTGAAAAGGAGATTTACAGAGGAAATAGTATTTAGAGGCTGTAACATTGCAATGGCCTAAACAGAAAAGTTGAAGAAGAAAAGGCATCCGAGGTACCGTTTTTTTTTTTCCAAAAATTATCGAGCTACGTGCTCTTCGAACAAATTTCCTAATTATAAATTCAGAGCGGATGATGAAAAGTCGAAATTGTTTACACGCATGATCACATTGAAAGAAAAGAAGTGTTAATCGCGATAAAATTTAAAATAATTTAGCTCTTTCCTAATCGTGAATTTGATATGGGGTAAAGCCAAAACAAGAATTAGGAAGGATCAAAAATATAAAATATAGGAACGATCATTTTCCAGGGAATTCCTGTACAGAAATCAACTTTTACCAAAACAATTACTTTTATTATTCCAATAAGTGTACTTGAATTTTAACTCATCCGAGTTCTCGTGTCCTGTTTTGGCACGCACGATTGATTCAAGTGTTCAAAACTGTGAACGCTTGTTACAATCAATTAATTGTTTTTCCGAATATCACTTAGGGATGAACTCACAGGCATAAAAACGAACGGGTTATACGAATTCACTCTAATAATTATGTGCTTTGATCGAAATTGATAGCAGCCTATATAGGTATTTTCGAAATTAAGTCGACTGCTTGAGAAAAACAGATGTTAACAACATGGAATTAACATATTGATTCCCCACAATGCTCGTTCCTATGTTTCGTATATCCATGGCTTAAAAAAAAAAAGAGATTAGGCTCAGTTTTCAATAGCGTCTTTTTTCTGCCATTGTTGATTATTTTCGTTTTTTTTGTGGCCTTTATTGCTAATTTTCATTGTTTTTTCAATAAACCGGTTGAATTTCAATTTTTCCTTTTTTTTTTTTTACTGTTGGTTTCATTTTGTCTGGGCTTTAAAAAAAATCCTCCTTCGAAGCGAGCTTAGATTGACAGCTGCATGATTTCCGGAAATGCAGCTATAAGGAAATTAAAATCGCGCTAACAAGATCGTTCCCTGAATTAGTGGGATAATTAACTTTTATAATGTTACTTAAGACTTAACCTTGTGAAGCAGTCTTTTTCATTTCCTTTTAACCAAGGGATTGAAGCGAACCCTTGGCAGAGGTTATGCAGAAGTAAAAGTTGAAAAAGGAGAAAATAATTAAAACAGGAGGGGACTCCTGAAGTATAAATTACTCCCAGGTAGCTCACGGAACGATATACACTGCTACAATGACCAATAGGAGCGAAGTTCACCAATTTCGCTGTATGAATTAATCGCCCTCTCCGGTCGGCCAAAGTCAGATTAAAATGCTTTTCCCTTCGCAGATTACTTTCACTCTATCACGTAGGGAAGGGAGCAGAAAAAATCATTCATAAAAAAGGAATGGCATACATCCGGTAGTTTGAGTGCGAGAGCGGCGTGGTGTTTTATGTACAGTGACGTACGTATACAAAACAGAGTTCTGTATTCGCCCACAAACTCAAATCGAAAAATTTCTTCGTAACTGTCCTGTGGTGATGAATGGATGAACTATATCCATTGCCATTGGCATACACAAAAAAAGAGGTTTTTAATCTTTGTCGCATGAAGGCAGGTGCTTAGGTTAAGCCAGCAATTAACTTAAGCAGTAATTTCCTCAACTTTAGCCTGCAAAGTAAACGAAAAACACTTAATAATTTGCATAAGCCAAAGTTTACGTTGGGTTCACTTGTCCTTCAATGAAGTTAAGTCACTCATATTCCAAACCTCTTGCAAAAAAAATCCTAAACCGTCAAAAGAGATGAATCATTTTATTTGAATGAGGATATTGAAATTTATGAAGAGGACTGATGGCTATTAACATTTTTAAAGAAAACAAAGACCATAATATACTCTCGGTCGGTTACTAAAAGTTCCTGTTGCCAAATCATTTGTAATTTCTATTCATTTTCGCTCTTCATTGCTCTATGTCCGGTCGAAATGGATAGCATTTGGGTGTAATTTTCCTCTTCATTCTTAACTAAATTCAGAATTACTATCTAGTAAATTTTACGATAATCGTCTGCATTCAGTTGCCCATTATCAGATGTTTAAAACATTCATATCTACTTTAAGATTCTGAAAACACGATAATGACTTACGAGAGTGTATCTTTTCTGGAGGATTCGTTTTTAAAAGAGTAGATTGATAACAGCTATTTTATAAGGGGATCAAAATCCACAGTTTCTGAAGATGGTGGCAAAGTTGGTAAATTAATGTTTACTTTGTTTAAACCTCTAGGAACGAAAATAAAACAGATCTCTGCTACTTTTAATCGTTTTTAGCATTTTCGTTGCTGAGCCATAGGATAAACAAGTTACCGAGTAATTACCCGAGAAGATCACAGTTTCGTTTTGATGCATTTAGTTAATTTTCTCGTTCGGTGTTGAGCAGGACTGCAATCTTGTTTCTTCGTTAAGATTCTTCAAACCCTCTGAGCATCTCTCATGATTCAGTTCAGTGTTAAAATCAAGATTTCTAAATTTCACCCTCTTTCGGTTCGTATCGGCCGCAGTATTTTGGGTCACTGTGTTTATTGTTTGATCAATATGAACGCTTGATCTTGACGATTCTGTTAAATACGTGCAAATAGCTCGAGCGGCAATTCTCGCTCTCAAACTCTTATCGAAAGCACAGTAAATAACAGGGGTTATCGCCTCGTTGATAAATGTACCGAACATGGAAATTTCGTAAAGAACGTGTCCTCTATGGACACTTTCTGTGCCGGACACAATCCGAACAAAGCTCAGAACAAAAGTTGGCAACCAGCACACTGTGAAAGTTGCTGCAACCAGCCCAGATGTTCGCGTAACGCGCTTCTTAGTCTTGTGAATAATCGAACGTGATGTAGCGGGGAAACTGTCCGTTGCCACCATGGGACTTCTTCCCCACATAATTAGCGTCACTTGAAAATAGCACTTACACAACACTATGAACGGGAGTAAAAGCACGACGAGGAACTCAACTGCCTCGTACAATTTATCCAACCAACTTATTGGAATAGCTCTTGGACTGCAAATTGTCTTGGCCATTGAGGGAATCATTTGCACTTCAAACATGTACAAATAAGGGGCAGTCACAACAGCGGGAACAAGCCATGCCATTGCTATCATTTTCTTGACGCGTT